CCCTAAATTTTTTTTTTTTTTTGTGGAACCGGTGATTGAACTCAGATCCTTTAGTTTGCCCATCAAATGCTTATCTTACTGAGCCATCTCCCCGGCCCCTAAAATTTTTTTTAAAAGGCACATTAAATCAATTCTCATAAGAGTAGGCAGGGATCAGGAGTAGAAACAAGATTATCCCACTTCACCCAACATACACTAGTGTCATTTTTCAAATTTACACAGATTCCATTTGTAGTCCCCCTTTTTCTCTTCTCAAAGGATTTCAGATTCACCATGTTAAACAGTGTTCTTGGGGTTAGGGCTGGCTTCTGCGCTAGCAACACTGGAAGGATGCCCTGGAGTCCTTTTTTAGGGTCACTGTACTGCCCACCAACTCCTCCCTTACAACGTGAGGTGGTTTCATTTGGAGTCACGGATTTCCGTCTGTCTGGAGCTCTCTGGCTCTAGGAAGGGCCCTTCATACCAACAGTCATCGGAGCTGTGGGGGCGGGGTCCCTGCCACTGACCTGTGCTGGTGTTTATTCTTGCGTTTTTTATGGCTGCTATGATGATTTCCTGGGGAAGTGGAAGCAGCAGCCTTTTGGGGCTTCACTCCCTGCACAGATCCATCCAGATCCTCAGGGTCCTCCTGGCTGGGCTCATTTTCCTGATTGTGGAAGTCCGGAGAAGTGTCACTCTGTCCCACTTCCTGGTTCCCTCTTTTCAGTGAGCTGGCCCTGAACTCCTGCCCATGCACTTAACAGCAGCTGCCGACTTGACTGAAGATTTACTGAAGAGCTGCTTACCTTCTTTAAACTTCTGGTTCCTTTGATCATTTTTGCTGTTGGAGTTTTTTTGATTGGTCAGATAGTGATCCCAGCCACGAATAATATTGCCATAGATCTGAGTATCTTCTAGGTAGCTTCCTTCAAAAGCATAGATCTGTGTCTCCAAGTTTGTCAGTGTTTCCGCCAGCTCCTGCTTCCACTTCATGAGCTCTGCCAGCTCCTGCAGGGTGTCCAGGATCTGCGGCGGGGCCGCCTTGTTGTGCATTGCCATGTTGGGCTGTAGTGGCGGCGGCCAATATTTGTTGATTAAATGAATATTTTCCCTTGTTAATGAAAACTTGTCATTTAAGTATCATTTTATTTTAAAAATGGTGCTCAATATAAGGAAAGTGCCAGTCATACCTACTTACTCCTCTGACTTGTTACTGTATATCTTACATGTTCTTAGATTTTGATCTTGGCTCCTACAAGAGAAATTGCTGTCCAGATACACTCTGTTATTACAGCCATTGGAATAAAAATGGAAGGCCTAGAGTGTCATGTGTTTATCGGAGGAACTCCATTATCACAAGACAAAACCAGACTTAAAAAGTGCCATATTGCTGTTGGATCTCCTGGTAAGATATTGGTGCCTGCTGGTAATTGGGGCTCTTAAGGAGTAGACACTTTTAATATAACAAAAGATATATGCGAATAGCCAGTGAGATAGTTCTATTTTATATCTACTAAATCACATGACATGGCACATAGGAAATTGTTTGTTTATCTTAGAAGCCAAGAATGAAACTGCCAAGAAGGTGAGGGCTTTGCACCGTTAACTGTTTGCCTAGCAGTTGCTGTGTTGCCTCGCACACAGGAAATTCCTACTTAATATTTGTTGATTAAATGAATCTGTGCCATATACTCATAACCAATGAAATTTTTGATCTCCATTCCAGAAGATACTTGAGAACACACAAGATGGTGTTCGGAGAAGAAATGTTACTTCCATGCTGTGAACTGAGATTATTTTTTAGCCTCTCTTATTCGGTTGTGAATTACTAAGAGTGAAAATCTAGTGATCAGTGCGTTGGCATTCAAGTGTTTTAGTAGGAATAATTATTTTCATATTTACTATGATGAAGTGAGGGAAAAAAGAAAGGGTTTCAAACTAGATTGGAATTTAAAACTTCTAGTTGTGTGTTTGTAAAGGCAGGGTGAAAACTGAATCAGGAAGTAAGCATTTTGATTTTGTTAAGAAGAGTCAGATATTAGCTGAAATTTGTACAGATTAGGTATAACATAAATGTTTCAGTGTGTCTGGGTACTTATATTTTCTTTTTTCTCTTGGAATTTAGGAAGAATTAAACAACTCATAGAACTTGACTATTTGAATCCAGGCAGTATACGTCTCTTTATTCTTGATGAAGCAGATAAACTTTTAGAAGAAGGCAGCTTTCAGGAGCAAATAAAGTAAGATAAATAAATTACTTGATTTTTAAAATGGCACCCCAAAGTATCTATCTTTAGCTTTTCTAGATAGCTAAAGATACGTCTGAATAATTTTTGTGGTAATGTTTTCTTCTTTTGCAGTTGGATTTATTCTTCATTGCCTGCCAGTAAACAGATGTTGGCAGTGTCAGCTACTTACCCCGAATTTTTGGCTAATGCCTTGACAAAGTACATGAGAGAACCTACTTTTGTAAGACTGAATTCTAGTGATCCAAGTCTCTTGGGTATGCACATATTTTGTGTACTTACCTCGCTGGTGTGCTCGCAGTGTGTGGGCGTTTCCCCTTACCTCTGTGGCTATTGATGTTGCTTGGCTGCTGTTAGGGAATAACAGATGTATTTGTTTTAAGTGCCGACTCTTGATTTCTTTGTAGGTTTGAAGCAGTATTATAAAGTTGTTAATTCTTACCCTTTGGCCTATAAGATTTTTGAGGAAAAGGCTCAGCATTTACAGGAACTTTTCAGCAGAATTGTGTTTAATCAAGCCTTAGTCTTTTCTAATTTACACAGCAGGTAATATAACTTCAAAGGGTATCTGGAGAAATTATAAAATGAAAAGATAGGCAAAGGACAATATTTGTAAAATGAACTTTTATTTTTATTTTTATAGAGCACAGCAACTGGCTGATATTCTTTCTTCTAAAGGCTTTCCTGCTGAGTGCATTTCAGGCAAGTTTACTGCTTTAGTTTTTATTTAGTGTACTGAAGCCTCCGAAGTCAGGGGGAAGAAATACCACTTCATGAATTGTCTTATGTGGGAGAGCACACTGAATCTTCAGAATGAACGGAATTTCAGGCTTATTTTTTTTATTGGTATTTATATATTAATATGTTTACTTAAGGAATAACAGAAAACTAGAATCCAAAGGGGGTTACTCATTTCTTTTTAGACTCTATTTGTTATATCCACAAGAAACTTAATTGTGTAAAACAAAGATTGTTGTCTGACGACAGTTTCTTGACATAATCATTGTTAAAATGCTAACTGAACTGACTTATTTATCTTTGTGGTGGTAAGGATTGACTCCCATTGAACTCAATTGATTGCTGCTCTAAAACATTTTAAAAGATTCTGACTGTAGATCTTAACCCAGATTTGCACAAGACAGAATTTCCTTTTTTTTGCGGAACCGGGGATTGAACTCAGGCCCTTGTGCTTGCCAGGCAGGTACTTATTCTATTGAGCTATCTCCCTGGCCCACAAGACAGAATTAATGGTGGTTGGTTTATTTAAATTGTTCAGCCTGGGAGTTATAATTCTTGCTTTTTGTGGACGTGATAAATATGTATAAGCTTAGTTGTATATATATATATATATATATATATATTTTTTTTTTTTATCTTTTTAGGCAACATGAATCAGAATCAGCGCCTAGATGTTATGGCTAAACTAAAGCAGTTTCATTGCAGAGTTCTCATTTCTACAGATTTGGTAAATTTCCTGCTCAGTTTGGGTGACTAATTCATCTTGACATATGTTCTGTTGTCAGATGTACAGATTTTGTGTATTGCTTTATGTGGGTGTTTCCAGCAAGAATATCAGAAGATAATTGCCTTTCTGATTCTGGGGTCATGCCTTTAATATTTTGCCTGTTTTTGAAATTGGTAATTAGGAATGAATATCCTTTTCCTCTAAATAGGGTCTTGATCTTGATTTGGCTCTTGATTATAATAGAACTGTATAGTGTACACTGGCAGCCATGTTGCAGTTAGGAATTGTAATTATTTTCCATACTTGTGATGAAAAGTGAGGGAAGAAATAAAGGGCTTAGACGAGATCAGAATTTAAGATTTCTAATAGGTGAGTTAGTGTGTAAATGCACGATGAGCATTGTATTAGGAGTTAGCATTATGGCCTGTGAAGAGTCAGAGACTGTAGGGTGAAGAGAGCCGAGTAAGTAAGTGTTGTCTTCTTTAATTCAAGACTTCCCGTGGGATTGATGCTGAGAAGGTGAATCTGGTTGTAAACCTGGACGTGCCATTGGATTGGGAGACATACATGCATCGGATTGGCAGAGCTGGCCGTTTTGGTAAAAAAAAGAAGAAAGTTTCAGTGCTTCCTTTAGGCTGAGCAGTCTGTAATGCAAGAGTGGACTGGGTGTCATTTATTTGGAAGTGACTTACTGAGCACTTCCTCTTATTTAGGTACACTGGGGCTGACGGTGACCTACTGTTGTCGGGGAGAGGAAGAAAATACGATGATGCAAATTGCCCAGAAATGTAATATCAGCCTTCTCCCCTTACCAGGTACATTTTCTGCTTGTTTTGCTATCGTAACAGTTGGGAAGGTAGACGTAGTAAAAATTCAGAATGCTCATGACGTGGTGGGGACTCTCCCCCATTCTGTGCATGTGTTAACTCACTTGATTCTCACCACAGTCCTGTGAGGTGCTGCTGTTATCTACTACGTGCAGGTTAAGACTCTCAGGAAAAAAAGAGAGGCTAATGAAAGTGTTACAGCGAGTGAATAACAAAGTGAGGCTTGCAGGCTAATTTGTAGTACCTGGAAACGAAGATAATCTGTTTAGCATTATTTTTTACGATTAAAAAATGCAATTTTATTTTATTTTTTTGATATAAGGGAGAGTGTTTTTTTTCTTTTAAATTGCTGTGAAGGTAATTCTTGTCATATTCTTGTTTATCACCATGGGGAAGGAACATTATTTTTAATTTGAAGCTATTTTGAAAATTTGAATGAAGTGTTTTGATTTTTGTTTATCATTTGTCATGGTTTTTAAAATACTGTCTTGGAAACTGGGCATTTTTGAAAGTATTAATGATTTCTTAAAAAACAAAACAAACCCAAACCTCTTAAAATACTCTTGAATGCAAATATAGTTTAATATGTATTACAT